GGGCTGCGGGACCCTGACGATCCGAACACAGAAAGCCGCCTTATTTGGCTCGGTTTATGTTGCGCAAAAGCTGCCAAGTGCGGGTTTTTCTTTTTCATTTCCCGCAGAAATGATCAGGACATGTTTTTATTTCATGTCTCCCTCCGCCGAGAGAAAAGCTTTGAATATTAATGAGCTGATCCATTGTTGATCCGGTTTGTTGCAGCGGGGGCTCATATCTGTGTCACCCCTTCCCCATGTGGGGGTCCCCCCCTCCCCCCAATGTCCCAGCCGCAGGTACAGCCCACCTGTCCGTCAGCACACCTGAGATGTTCTGCTGGGTCCATCTCTGCTCGGTGTAAAAGGACTCCACGGTGGTTCTTGATCAACATGAAGGAACTTGGAGTTCCTGACAGCAGAACACACGCACGCGCACGCACACACACCTCCGCACACGCCCAGTGTAGAGCCGTTTCAAACATTGACTTGTTTGCGCACCTCTGCCTGAGGAGTCTGAGCTGCAGTGTTTCACTCATTCACCTGTTAAATGATTCTTTATTTCAGTCTAGCCCTTTAGTGACACGTGTGTGAGGGAAGCTGTGTGTCTGCAGAGTGTCTTTGTCTCCTCAACATGGAGTTGTGTAACATGTTTTCGTCTCTGCAGAGCACCAGGTTCAGCATGGACTCCAGAGCTTTCTGATGTCTTTTAATCTGAAGGTCCATCTGTCCTCTGAGTTCAGTGGAGGCGCTCATTAGCTGTGCTACTGATGGGTATAAATCCTCTGCAAGTCCTCACATGAAAAGCACCAGAAAGGGCCTGGCAGGAATGTGTCCCCCCCCCATCTCTGACTGTGGGACAGGTGGTGCTCGGAGCTGGGGGCACGCTGGTCTGGACAGGAACGGATCAAAGGGCTTGCTTGGTCCGGCTGCTCTCAGGCGGTCCTGAAGCGACTGGAATGTTTCCTGTCTGAACAGTGTGGGTTTTCCCGCCCTGTGTGATTATGTAATGAGGACCAGCCATTTCCAGCAGCAGAGCCGCCGAGCCGAGCTGAGCAGGCGCATTAAAACCACTTTCTGAGGCTCGGCCATACCTGCTGACAGATGGACGCTGCCTTCTGAAAGCGGGAAGCTCGGTCTAGTTTTTACCTCTGAACAGTACCAGGTCACAGTCAGCTGATCCGAGCTGGGTTGAGTTCTTCTCTCTCTCTCTCTCTCTCTGTCTCTCTCTCTCAGGCCAGGTGAGCCGCTCTGCGCTGAAACAGCCTCGCAGTTGTAACATCTTCAAAGCCCTCTTCTGTTGCCTCCAAGTTCAGGATGGCCCCAAACCGCCGCTGCCGCCACCTTCCCAGCAGCCCCTGCTGGAGTCGCAGGACAATGGGATGGTTGTCAAGGTAATGCAAAGACTTCACCTCTGTCTTTTCTTTTTTTATTTATGAACTATTATATGTGTTGCTTTAACTTCCACTCATCTCCCAACATAAATAAAGTTTGACCATTAAAACACGTCTTTTACAGCTGCTGCAGCTAACATCTGAGACAGCAGCTAAAACTGTCCGTGCAGATGGTGTTCAGAGTTTACCTGAGTGGGAAATTTTGACTAAATGCTAAAGTGAGAAAATAAGTGAAAATAGCCCAACTCTAGCTAAAAGCCGAAAGTACAAGTTAAAGCTAGTCAAAGGCTAGTTAGATGCTAGCAGCTGTCAGTCCTTCAGCTGGTCATCCTCCAAACATGATGAGGAGGAAAAAGAATTATATTATTTACCAAACTGCAGCATATATGCTGAATGATAGYTGAAGTTAGCTAAAACAGCTGAAACTGGGTTGTTGAGACTAAACAAAACAACCAAACACAAGCTAAAACAGCAACATGCTAGGTAAAATAATAACAATACTAGCTAAAAGACAGAAATGCCAAAAATATAACCACAAGGTAAAGGATAACTAAAATAGCAAAAGTTAGCTAAAGGGCAAAATAAGACAAAGTCTAGCAAGAAAACTAAAAGCAACAAGAAATGAGCTAAAAGTGTCAAAAGGTTAACTACATGTAAAGCTAGAAGTATAGCTAGACATTAAAAGTAGCAAAAGGCTATCAAAGTTATAATAGCAAACATTTAGCTGAAAATAGCAAAAATTATCAATAATATAGTTTGAATTTAAGTATCAAAGGGTTAACAAACTAGCAAAAAACTAAAATAGCAAAGGGTTAGCTAAAATGAGCTAACTGCTAGCTAAAGGCCAAAAGAAGCCTGAGTTTAGCTAACAGCTAAATGAAACCAGAGGCAAGCTAAAAGTGTAGCTACATGTAAAGTAAAGCTAGCTAAAAGTATTAGAAATATAGTTAGATGTTAAAAGTAGCAAAAATCTATCTCAAAGTTTTAATAGCAAAATATTTGCTGAAATTAGTGAAAAGCTTGTTAAAAGTATCAATAATGTAGCTAGATGTCAAAATTATCAAAAGGTTAAAAAAGTGAAAAACTATCTCAAAATGAATGTAGAATTAGGTTTGCTAAAAGGCTAGCTGAAATATTAAAATAGCAAGAGGTTATATTAGTAAGGAGCTATATGCTAGCTAAAGGCTAAAAGAAGCTAAAGTATAGCTAGAAGCTAAAGTTAATAAACTAAACGCCAGGCTAGCTAGAAGTAAAATAAAGCTAGCTAAAAGTATTCAAAGTGTAGCTAGATGTTAAACATAGCAAAAGGTTGTCTCAAAGTTTTAATAACAAATTGTTAGCTGAAATTAGCAAAAAGCTAACTAAAAGTATCAAGAATATAGCTAGAAGTAAAAAATATCAAAAAGTTGCTAAAACAAAGTAGCTTAAAGATGATGCAACATAAGTTTTGCTAAAAGTAGCAAAAGATTAGCTAAAGGCTAAAATAGCAGACCATAGGCTGAAAGTGAAAAGTAGCACAGGAGGCTAAAAATAGAGCCTGATGCTGAAGCAGAGTGCAAACAGAACGTTTAGTGAATTATTTTGGGTAAATATTTGTAAATGAAGTTAAATATAGACGTCTCTCACTCCCTGACTGCTGGAGATAAACTCCAGCTGCTCAGGCACAGAAAAGCAGCTAAACATAAAGGATGGATGGACAAAAGACATGTTTTTAAATCATGAAAGTTACAAAAAGTAAAAATCAGAGCAGCTGTCTCCTGAATGAGCCGAACGTTTTGACATATGAACGACTAAAATAATAAATAATAAAACTTTTATTTCTTGTCTGATTTTTGGTTCACATTAGAAACATGTTTGTCCCCATCGGTCCAGCAGCGAACAGGAAGCAGCGTCCACACACCTGCTGACTGTAGAGGACGTCCAGATCACAGCTCCTCCTGTAGAGCTGCTGATGCTCTGGGTTTAATGTCCACTCACACTGACGGCATCTTTATCTTCATTTTCCTCCTAATGGAGAAGCTGTTTCTCTTATGTAATGTTTGAATAATTAATGCTGCTCTGAGAGAACGTTGAGAGGGCTTAGAATGACAAAATAAAAAAGCACGGTAGCGTGTAACGTTACTGTCATTTTCCCCTGCAGATACATGTTTGTTGTGTACATGTAAACACAACAAAACAACATAAATCTGCTTCCAACACAGACGCTGAGTTAAACCCCATGTTAGGTTTTCAGTGCAGCAGGACCAGTTCTGCTCCTCAGCCCAGGTGACAGCACAGACTCAGGTGTGTTTCTCTCTTTTAGCAATCTGAAATCAGCCTCCTGCCTGAGGTGAAGTCCCACGATGAAGGGAAGATCTGTGTAGTCATAGACCTGGATGAAACCCTGGTTCACAGCTCCTTCAAGGTACCAGCGCTCCTCTGTCTTGTGTCCTCTGCTGTCTTGTGTCCTCTGCTCTCTCATGTCCTCTGCTCTCTCGTGTCCTCTGCTCTCCCGTGTCCTCTGCTCTCTCATGTCCTCTGCTCTCTCGTCTCCTCTGCTCTCTTGTCTCCTCTGCTCTCTTGTCCTTTGCTCTCTCATGTCCTCTGCTCTCTCATGTGTCCTCTGCTCTGTCCTCTGCTCTGTCTCGTGTCCTCTGCTCTCTCGTGTCCTCTGCTCTCTCATGTCCTCTGCTCTCTCGTGTCCTCTGCTCTGTCTCGTGTCCTCTGCTCTGTCTCGTCTCCTCTGCTCTCTCATGTCCTCTGCTCTGTCTCATGTCATCTGCCCTGTCTCATGTCATCTGCTCTGTCTCGTGTCCTCTGCTCTGTCTCATGTCCTCTGCTGTGTCTCGTCTCCTCTGCTCTCTCATGTCCTCTGCTTTCTCATGTCCTCTGCTCTGTCTCATGTCCTCTGCTCTGTCTCATGTCCTCTGCTCTCTCGTGTCCTCTGCTCTGTCTCATGTCCTCTGCTCTGTCTCATGTCCTCTGCTCTGTCTCGTGTCCTCTGCTCTGTCTCATGTCCTCTGCTCCATCTCTTGTCCTCTGCTCTGTCTCATGTCCTCTGCTCTGTCTCATGTCCTCTGCTCTCTCATGTCCTCTGCTCTGTCTCGTGTCCACTGCTCTCTCATGTCCTCTGCTCTGTCTCATGTCCTCTGCTCTCTCATGTCCTCTGCTCTCTCATGTCCTCTGCTCTGTCTCATGTCCTCTGCTCTCTTGTGTCCTCTGCTCTGTCTCATGTCCTCTGCTCTCTTGTGTCCTCTGCTCTGTCTCATGTCCTCTGCTCTGTCTCGTCTCCTCTGCTCTCTCATGTTATTTGCTCTGTCTCATCTCCTCTGCTGTCTCGTGTCACACGGTGGTGTGCAGTTTGTAACTTTCTATGGGAAGCAGGAGAGTTTGTCTTCTGATAGTTGAGGAGTTCTCTGTGAACTCTGTTCGGTCAGAGGAAGCTGTGATTTATGACGGGGCTCAGCAGGGCTTCTGCTTATGTAAAGCCATGTGAACGTACACGGCACACACCGCCAACCGTCTCTGCTTTCCTCCCCGCAGCCCATCAACAACGCCGACTTCATCGTGCCGGTGGAGATCGAGGGGACAACACACCAGGTAAGCTGCCGCGCCGCTGCGAGCGGCTCGTGTGTTGGTGTTTTTCGCAGCAGCAGCTGTTGAGCTGAAAGGGGGACGGCTCCTCGATTGTCCGGGGTTTTCAAAAACAGGAGCGCAGATCCCTCTGCTGGCCAGACGCTGAACAGAACGTGCCAAAGGGAAAGTGGATGCACCGGGAAGGAAAAAGAGCCACCTCAAACAAAATGTTGTTTCACCTTTTTTCTGCTTTTGTTAAATAATATTTATCCACTCGACCGATGCTGTGCTGGATCTTTGTGTGTCAGAAATGTGCTTCCCGGGGCCCCGTGTGATCGTAAGGAAAGCCCTGAGGGCCTCTACCTGGTTCAAGTAATCCAGGATAGGCTGGTTAACACTAGCACGGCCTATTCTTGATTACTTGTTTCAGGAAGTGGCCACAAGCAGCTGCGTTGTAAAACTGAAAGCTGGTGAAGTGTTGATGCTGATGCCGACCTGTCTGTGTTTTAGGTGTATGTGCTGAAGAGGCCGTACGTGGATGAGTTCCTGCAGAGAATGGGGGAAATGTTTGAATGTGTTTTGTTTACAGCCAGTCTTGCTAAGGTACTGAAACAGCTCCTGGATCAGATCTTCATGTTTATCTCAGCCTGTGTGTCAATGTGTCGTTTAGTCCCAGTTTGATCTGCTTTCTTTTGTCTCTTAGTTTCTTTGTAATCTAATTAACATGCCTCATTAGAAACCCTCCCAGCTTTTAAAGACACCTCCTAAAGCCGAGGTTGCACAAATAGTACAGGTTTGAGGTAAAACCTATTTTTAGAGGCATCACATTACAGCGAAGTTTCTGATTCAAATGTCAGAAACTCATTTGGCTCAGAGAGCAGAGCAGGTTATGAGAAGCAGCAGAGTAGTTCCTCCTGCTGTGGTGAGCAGGACTTCCTCTAGAGCAGGGGTGTCCAAACTTATTCCCTCAGGGGGCCAAAATGAAAATCTACCCAAAGGCTGTGGGCCAAATGCAATAATATAATAGAGGAAATGCTAATACTTCTTAAGTAAAGTGCTTTTACTTTTTATGATTAAGCCAAGAGCCAGTGCAGTGGCCCATATTTTGTTTGTGTTTTTAATCTGTACACTTGCTCAGGCAGCAAAGGCTCATGGGACATTTCATATATAAAATATGAGTATTTGTGGTCTTATCCCC